CTGACAACCTAGAGATGGTGACAAAGCAGACAGATATAAGTTTCAAGATTTCAATCACAGTCAAAATTCACAAATTCTATGAGAAGTAGATGAATCAAAACGTAGTGAAAAACAGCAAAATCCACAAAAGGTTATAAGAATGCGGGCACAGTCAAAATAAGGAAAACAATTGGATTCTGAGACAATTACGGCTCACTCTTACCAACCAAATATCACACAAAAATGAGAACATTAAGCAAAGCACCTACATACTGAAGGAAAAAACAAAGTACCCTGTACAGTTTTTTACGGTGTTCTAGCTAGGATCCCCATAGCCAAATACCACACTCCAATCACCCCCACACACATTACACCACCACAGCGGCAATGAAATGTAGGGGTTAAACAGTATTCAACTCAAGTCGTTAATTCTTTTTACGGTCATAGGTAGAAGGAAAATTTCAAAGTTCTCACACAGATTTCATTGACCAACAAAAATTATTGTAGAGTACCATCTTTCCAAGCCCCAAAAGCAGGGCTTCACACCAACCCCTAAGGTTCATAATAATATCAAAATATTGAACCAGCTTGGAAGCTCAATCGGTTCACTAACCTGACTCCAAATTCGTTCATATCGACCCAACAAGCAATAATTCAAGGTCGCCTGTGAGTCAGGTCAATTTCAACCAACTCAACCTCCAAATGTTGATTCCAGCTGTCCAACCTATATTTAATGGTCAAAAGTGATTTTAACTAACTTTGAGATCTCAAAATAAGTGCTTGAAAAATCGCATAAGTTGATGTAGGTTGTCAGTAGGCATCCTACAGTCAAATGTTGTTAGAAGTAAAATGAAAAAATGCATCATGACAACTTAGACCATTCCAATATGCAACTTGTAGCTACTTGTACGGTTACACATCCAAGTTCCAACCAAAATATAAACAGCAGATGAGACCTACCTTAGAATGAATAAAACAAAGTGCTTTGTGCTCTTCATATAAAAATCTGAAGATAAAATTTAAGAAGTTCACACCAAGCAAACAATTTATAATAATAAAAGAATTTTAAGGAAAAACAAAGGAGATGAGGCAGACACTTACTCTTGCCATGTTAAAGGATGGAAATCGTGAAAATGCTTTTGAAAGAACATCATCATTCACCTCATTACCAAGATCGCCACAAAAAAGTCGATAATCATCTGCAAAAGCCAAAACCCAACAGAATTGTAAGGCATAAGTATGCATTCAATTGAAGAAAAGTCAGGTAAAACAAAAAATGCCATTCTTGTGAGAGAATAACTTGCTCAAAATCCAAAAAACTAAAATTACTACTGAATCCCATGAAGAGTAGGAATTTAACAAGGTCTCACAGTTCTAGTGTATCAGTGAACTAAGTAGCCAAAAGGGAAACCTTCAAAGAAGATAAACTGAAACGGGACACAATCATGGAATTGAATTATAACAAATATTATATAAAAGAGCATTTAATTATGAAACCACACATACTTTCTGGCCATTCTGCAAGAGTTGGGTCCTCCCAAGCCTGCCCGGCAGCTTTACGAGGGATAGCTTTCTTCTTAGCTTCTGCTTTGTGCTCAATTTCGCTGTTTGCAAGAGCAGCCTTCACACTCTCGAGAGCCTCAGGTGTAATCGTCTGCGCATCCCTTTGAAACAACTGCTGAGCCTGTTCATTTACACTAAAACAAATTATGCACATGAAACTTACACACCAAACAACTTCCCCTAAATTAGCAAAAAATGATACGTAGCTCCATTACTTATTTCAAAACTGAAAATCTCAAAAAGTCTTTCTCTACATTTTCAAATTGCAGTAGTTCCTCAAACAAGAATCCCAAAAATTATAGCTCTTTAAAAGCAAAAATAACATGAATTCGTTTCCACAAAAATCATACTTTTCACTAAAGCATACGAATTTTCGAACCGAAGAAAAACCCCATTCTATTTATTCTCAATCATTCAAGAAATCAAAGACATCAATTATCAAACCCTAAGCGTATGAGTATGCATATAAGTGTAAATGCACATAAAGACGCGTCCCGAAAACAGACCTGCTGATACTGCTGAGGAAGAGAGTAGACACCGGCGACCGGAGCCGGGGCCGGGTAGACGGACGGAGCGGGTGGCGCTGCAACGGCGTAAGGCGCGGGGTACTGGGGTTGCTGGAGGTGGAAGGGCATGGGGAAGTAGGACGATGACGACGAGGCATTCGCGTATGTGAATTGGGAAGAGGTCAATGGAGGAGCTGCGGAGGAAGACGGTGGGTTCGCCATGGCCGATATCGGAATAAAGGTAAAGCTAGGGTTTTGAATGGTACGAATTGGGGGCAATCGGGATCGTAATTTCAGAGAGTTCTAGAGCTTTGCTCTTTTGCTTTTGACGGTATTTCTCACGCCGATTTTTACGGAAAAAAAATAATTTTACAAGACCAAAGCCCAACAGAAACCCCATACAAAACAAAAGGAGAGACCCATTCAACAAAAGAGCAGGTCGGCCAGAAGGCCCGATAATACTTTTGAACTCGTTTAGAAATGCTTTTTGACAGAAAACAATAATGCTTAAGCGTTGTTAGCTTTAGAGGCACGTCTAAATTTTTAATAAAAATCTAAAAACACTTTCAAACCTTTTGTGGTAAATATATTTAGAAGCTTGTTGGTTTCGTGGAGTTGTTTTTAGCTATTTCTAAAGCACTCCCAAATATGCTTGTGGTTGTCTAGAAACACTTTGTTACTAGTCTTATGATCTAGTGATATTTCCTTTCACCTTGTAAGAGGACGACTCAAACATAGATGGGAGTCTGATACCTAGATAGCTTATTGTGTGACTCAATGTAAATGTGAGTCTGATACCTAGTTTGCCTTGTAAGAGGATGACTCAAACATAAATGGTGTCAATAACATCTAATTGGGTCCCCGTATGCATAACCACTAAATGAATATTTCATATTCATGGCCATGTGTTAATCATGATATGTAACAATTGTGAGACACTCGTTTTTTTTTATGGTCAACTAATCACCAATGAATGAATAATAGTACTATAACTATGTGTCGTAAACAGAAAGAAACCATTTTTCTTATGAACAATGTCTTTTGTCTTACTTTGAGGGGCATAAGGTCACGGGGTTGGAATTTTGTTTTTCATGTATGTGGAAACCAAGCCATTGTATTACGTGTCATCATAATATTAAGTAATTATAAAATACATTTTTAATGTTTTTATTCGTATTGTGATCAGTGACGGAGTTAGGATTTTATGGATATAGAGGTCTCTCACATGCTAGGTAATTTAAACTCAAAACATGATAAATTGAGTAATTTGCATAAAAATCGAAAGACCACAAATTCAACCGAGAGAATTAAAAACATTATACAGACCCAGAAACTTGAATATGATGTTAGGAGTAAACAAGAATTTTTTTTTAAGTATAAGTTAAAGCTAAAGAAAATTTGATAGAATAAGGAGGGGTAGTGAAGGTTGCATTGCAATAAGAGGAATGAAGAGAAAATTGAGGTTTGGCCTAGAACATAAAAGAGTTTTGAGTAAGTATACACTTGAATTATAAGGATATTAGATTGATATGCTGCAGAAGTATCTGTTAGAGTACCCAAAAAAACAAAGACAGGATAAGTCAAATATTGTTTTAATTTTTAAGTGAATCTGCCTATATTATGACATATTATGTGTCGTCTTTTGTTTCACGTACATGAGAAAATCTTTCCACGAGATTGTTATTGGTATTCAAAGACATTTTCCTATCAAAAACCATAAAACTTCTTACATGTTAAAATACAAAGCCCCTTGCACGCGTGAGTTCTTCGTGTGTGGACTGTATCAAACGTGGAAGAAGGCCAAGTTGGGAATAAAATATTTTTCTTGTTTTAAATATTTACTCCAATCAAAGTGATCAATAAAAGGGATCAACCATTAGGACCAATCAAATGACTTGTTTTAGAGGGTCACCAATTATACACGTTCAATTGACTTGTCTTGATGCTTAATCGTTTTGATATATATTTTCTGGGTAATTTTGAGTGTTTGAAATCATTAAAGGCTACGTCTTTAACAACGCTAATTAAAATCCGTTAAAAATGATAACTAGTTCGTTTGAAAATATTTTTAAAATGATTTAAAAAAATTTTGGTGAAAATATTTTTAGAACCATATTTTAGTAAAACGCAAGTAAATCCTGTAAAAGCAGCACTTCAAGTGTTTTTAGAACCAAACAACATGTTATCTTCAAACACTTTTAATTATTTTAAAAGTACTTCTAAATGAGTCCATAATTTATACTATTATACTTTCAATACTATAAAGTCATTTTCTTATATTAAATAAACGAAATTAATGTCACATGCTATATATGCGATTGAAATTAATTTATCGAGAAAATATATAAGAACGTAACATATGAAGGTTTCATTGGAAAAAGAAGAATATAAGTAAAAGAAAACTGAGCTTTTATTAAATCAGCACAGTAAATACATGAACATACATTAAAATTAATTATCTTGACAAGCACGATTTTTTATTGAAAACTGCAGAATGAGATTTTTGAAGTACTAATAACAATTCAATTTTTCATTACAACAAGTAATTCTTCTCATACCTCAACAACCAAACATAAAGTATAAAAAAGTCAACACGGGCGATCCAGTAGTTGAAAGGAATTTCATGTTTATCATTCGCATAACATGTTATGAGTTTGATTTCTAACGCTAATGAATTATGCGATACTAATCAACAAAAACTAAAATGCATCGGTAAGTCTTCCTGACCTCTGTGTCTAAAGCCCCAATTGGTCACACATTGTTTCATTTAGCACGAAACAACGTGTTATTCCCAAGGGCGCCCATGGAATTTAACATTTTGCCGTTCGATAAAATCTTGCTGGTTTCTACACGGAATCCCGAAGCAACGGACCAACCAAACTCAGGTAATAATTAAAATAAATAAAATAAATTCACCTACTTTTTTACATCACAAAGTAATCCAAATCCGGTATTTATCCAAAAAAAACATCACATAAACAATATCCCCAAAACTCTTCTTCCCAGAAAAAAGGAAAATTAAAAACCCTAGATTTTAATTTCCAAATGATTTTTCAGAAGACCCAACTGTTATCATATCATCTGTTATTTGTCAGCTTTAATAAAAAGGTACTGACTTTGCACCAAACAAAAATTAAATGGCACTGAATCAATTTCCAAGCCTAATAGGGTTAGGGTTTCCTCCAAATTTGGAATTTTAGCCCCAAATTCTGGTACAAGAATTTTTGTCCTTCTTTTTCCAGATTTGCCCTTGCCCACAGTTTCTGGATTTTGCTTAACTTGTCTCAGATGAAATTCAAGGCGGTTTGAACTTTGAGAGGTTGGCCTTGATTGTCATTTATGAATTTGATGGGGGTGGGTACCCATCCCAGACCAATTATTCTGTGGCAAAAGTGCTTTCTGCTTTCTGTCTCTCTGGTGTTAGAATTAGGGTTAGGGTTTTTAGATCTGTTCAATCAGATTTAATTTCTTACGGATTTGAAATTTTTGTTGAATTTAATTTATTTTTTTAGTTAATTTTTGGAATCAATTTTTGTTGAATTGATCTGGTTTCTGCAAATACTGGGTGTAGTGATTGAAGTTTGAGCTGGATTGAGCTCAGTGGGGATTGCAGAATCTTGGATCATCACGATGTAAGCCCTACTTTCATTTTAATTTAATTTATTTTCTTGTAGTTTGACTTTTTGGGCAATCTTATCGGTATCTGTAATTCTGTCTGGTGCTACAAAATTATGGATAAATTACAAATGCCTGGTGTTTTTTACCGATTAATTTGATATATTTAATAATATTTCAATTCAATTAAGAAATTTCAAGTGATATTTAATGGAATTATCATAATGTCTGATCATCTGATTAATTTGTTTGTTTTCATGAATGCATTTGTGTATTGTGATGATAGTTATGTATGAGATCGTTCTGATATCGGATCATAAATTTAATGGAGCTGATACGTATGATCTTCAGCTGCAATATCTTTCAACTGCTAAAATACGATATTACTGTTGCGTGTTCGTTTTTTTTTTCTTTCTTTTTTTGGTCAAACGATAGATAGATTTTGTTACATTAGACGTTAGATTAGCCACCGACGGCGTTCGAACGCACGCCGTCATGCAAGGTGTCTGGAAAATATCTTTTTGTTCAGAAACTGATGTTAGTGTGAATAGCAACGTCTCTGGAAAATATATTATAGTTTCAGTCCTCTGTGCTGAATTTGGTGTACCCAAAGTCTGTTAATGCTAATGAAGCCAAAGAAACTTGGTTTACTGAAGCATGCTTTTGAAACCCTAAGATGTCTGTTTTTCGATTTTGCAGGCAAAATCTTTGGTTTGTTGCAAGCCTACCTGGTTCGACTTAGTAGTGGGATGCAAAGGAGCAGTATTTCATGATATTGTGGTTCATAAGCCAGAAGATAAGTGATCATCCTACTTCATAAAGATTGATTCTTTCCACGTAGATGAACAGATTGGAAAATTATCGGTTTTAATATCACGGTAGTATGGGGACAGAACTCATGAGAGTTTGCATAAAAGATGATAACGAGGAGTTTCCTTCAGTTCCACCCGGATTTGAGTCATTTGCACCTTTCAGCTTAAAAAGGATAAATGAAAGTGAGAAAAAAGATATTGAAAACAGAATAAGTTGCTCAGTGACTGCTAGTCCTTCCAATTCACAGTCAGTTCAGATGGAAACTGACGTTGACAATGGCGAGGTTGCAAAGAGGTCTGTTCGACGCAGACAATGCATAAACCATGGGCGAAATAACAAGTCAGAGGATGAGTCTGATTCAGACCGACTTGAACACGTAAATTTTCAAATATCCCCTGATTTTATGGGTTTTAATCATTTATATGCCATTTCTCTACAAGAATTCTGTACATGTAGATGGTTTCTCATGTACCACCTTTTTTTCTTTTTAGCAGAATTGTCCCCCAAGATCTGTTCTTCCCAAGGGGGTTGTACGCGGATGTCCACAATGTAGTAATTGCCAAAAGGTTAATCTTCAAACTTCACACCCTTTACTCTTACCCTTCTATTTGCTTGGTTCCTTTGTAATCTTTTATCATAAGTATCTTGCTTTCACCTTACTTATGTGAATCGACAAACTGTCTGGGGTTTTGGTTTTTTGTTCTGCCTTCAAAGTTATAGAATTGATGATTAAGTGTTTGAACAGGTCTCTGCAAGATGGCATCCACTGGAGGGTCAAAGGCGGGACCTTCAGAACGCTCCTGTATTCAGACCTACTGAGGAGGTGCAACTTATTACTTGTGGAATTTGAGTTATTACAGTTTTGGAGTTTGTTGACCTATTCTTACTCATCTTACTTGTAAATTAAAAAGTTGATTTTTTTTTTCAAAAAGGTTTTCATTTTTGAAGAAATCGGCTTTCTGACTCAGTTTGCTACCTAATTTCAGGAGTTCAAAGACACGTTGAAATATATAGCAAGCATACGCGCTAAAGCCGAACCATATGGTATTTGTCGCATTGTTCCTCCCTCTTCTTGGAGACCTCCCTGTCCACTCAAGGAAAAACCTATTTGGAGTGCCTCTAAATTTTCTACTCGAGTTCAAAGAGTCGATAAACTGCAAAATCGAGATTCAATGAGAAAGGTTCCTAAAAGCCATAGTCATATGAGGAAGAAAAGAAGAAGATGCACACGGATGGGGGCTGATCGCCAAAGTGGTGGCAGAGGATCTGAGGATGATGGAGGTTGTGAGGCTGAACGGTTTGGGTTTGAACCTGGACCAGAGTTTACTCTAGAAGCATTTGAAAGATATGCTGATGATTTCAAGGCTCAATACTTTGGCAAGAACGAACATGTTCCTAGTATAGGAGGTAACTTTGCTAAACTTAAAGAGTGCTGGGAGCCATCTGTAGGCAGTATTGAGGGTGAATATTGGCGGATGGTAGAGAGACCTACTGAAGAAATTGAGGTACGAGCAATACCAGTCTCTCTCTCTCTCTCTCTCTCTCTCATATTACCCTAACCATAGTGCTCGTAATGTGCTCTAGGTTCTATATGGTGCTGATTTGGAAACTGGAGTTTTTGGCAGTGGCTTTCCCAAGAAATCCAGTAAGGATGCTTTTCCTTCAGAAGAGCAGTACATAAATTCAGGGTGGAACTTGAACAACTTTCCCAGACTTACTGGATCTGTTCTTTCTTATGAAAGCAGTGATATATCTGGTGTTCTGGTGCCTTGGTTATACATAGGGATGTGCTTTTCTTCCTTTTGCTGGGTAAGACAATTTTTCTTCCTAGTAACAGATTGATCATCTGTCACCACCACTCATCATATGGTCAACCCCTGCTAGCATATTGCATGTGCTAGCACGAGTCTCTCATGTATTTTGTGGGATGTAATATTATAAATCACATCTTGACCAACTTATTTTGCAATAAGAAAGTAAAATAATCTATGTTAGGTGTGAAGATTCACTATTCTGGTTTTCATTTCATTGTCCATTGACCACATTCTATCAATTGGATTTGTTTTGAGATATGTTTGCAAGTGGTGAATGGTGGAGTGTTTCAAATCTCAAGGTGTTGGGAACTTGGGATTACAAATTCCAGTTATTCATTCCTAATTAATCAAAACCTCGATGGTTCTTTGAAAGCAATGTCTGCATTCATTTCATGCAGCCAGCTAATTTCATATTTTTGCATGAGGCCATAGCTTGTATATGTGAGACATATTATTGACGGCTGATTCCTCTTCCTTTTTTGTTTCCGAGAACAGCATGTTGAAGATCACCACTTGTACTCTTTAAATTATATGCATTGGGGTGCTCCAAAGTTGTGGTACGGTATCCCTGGTAAAGATGCCTGTAAATTTGAAGAAGCAATGAGAAAGCACCTCCCTGGCCTATTTGAAGAGCAACCTGACTTGCTTCATAAGCTGGTGAGTAACAGCTCCTGGTCTGTGCTAATGTGCTGTTTGAGATTTAGTGATTGTAGCTGGTTGTATTTACTCATTTGTCCCAGTATGCGGCAAAATATCTATGTTATATGCTTCTGATCTGTGTTTGTTACCTCCATATGGGGCTAAATTTTAACATCACTCAAAGGTTCCCTGGAAGAAATATCACCTGGCATTTTGTTGAAAAGACAGACTGAGGGTTAATTTATGACAAGACCTATATGTAATCAGGATATAACAGTTTATTTTTAAATGGTGTACCCTTCGTTGGCTCTTTTTCGTAGCTAGCCTTTTTGTCATGCAATTATGGAATAGATTCTTTAATACTGAAGGCTTGGTTTTACTTATGAGATGGATAGCTTGAGTTATCACTTGAGTTATCTTACATCTGTTCTGTGCTATATAAGATGGACTTCCGTTATGGATCTTCTGTACCCTTTACATTTCTGCTGTGGTTCAAATATAATATCTGTATTTGCAATTGCTAGTTGTCATTTTTTACAAGTTACAACTGCAGGGTTTCAACCATAATATCTGTTCTGTGAAATTGTCTATATCATGATCGTTTTCTTTGTTTGTTCATGCAGGTCACACAGCTTTCACCCTCCATTCTGAAATCTGAGGGGGTACCTGTGTATAGATGTTGTCAGAATGCTGGAGAGTTTGTTTTGACCTTTCCTCGAGCATACCACTCAGGGTTCAACTGTGGTTTTAATTGTGCCGAGGCTGTGAATGTAGCTCCTGTTGATTGGTTGCCCCATGGGCAGATCGCTATAGAGCTATACCAGGAGCAGGGACGAAAGACATCCATTTCTCATGATAAATTGTTGCTTGGGGCAGCAAGGGAAGCGGTGAAAGCACATTGGGAACTCAATTTACTGAAGAAGAATACTCCAGATAACTTAAGGTGGAAGGATGTATGTGGAAAGGATGGGACCTTAGCAAAAACACTCAAGGTAAAATCTGCTTTCTAGTTACTACCGTGCTTGCTTATTTGGAAAATGATGTCTTTTCATCGCCCTCTCTCCACTCTAGTAAAGGGTATGAATATTTATTTCATTTGATGATACTTTGGGTAATCTGGTTGTTGCACTGGCTATTTTACTAACAAATATTCACTCATTATATAGCTGAAATGTCTGTTTTCCCCTGACATTCTATAATTATTTTTGCCTAGGCACGTGTCGAGATAGAGCGTGCAAGGAGAGAATTTCTCACTACTTCTTCACAGGCATTGAAGATGGAAAACAATTTTGATGCCACCAATGAGAGGGAATGCAGCATATGCTTTTTTGATCTGCATCTGTCAGCAGCTGGTTGTCATCATTGTTCCCCAGATAGATATGCATGCTTAAATCATGCAAAGAAATTCTGCTCATGTGCTTGGAGCGCCAAGTTTTTCCTCTTTCGTTATGATATGGATGAACTAAACATTCTTCTTGAGGCATTGGAAGGAAAGTTGAGTGCAGTATACAGATGGGCTAGACTCGATCTTGGTTTGGCTCTGAGTTCTTATATTTCCAAAGACAATAAAGTTGGTAAGATATCTTATTCCTCCAAAAGTGATATACTTACAGAGGTTAGATCACAGCTGCAAAGCACACACTTCAAGGATCCTCCAGGAACAGAAATCTCTAAAGAGAGTCCTATGAGTTCAACCGAGATCATTGTTGAGACTTCCTCGCAACAGAAGAGGAAAGCATTAGAAACTTTTGCTCAAGTTAAAAGAGAAGAATCAGGTCTTAACAGTTCCAAGTCAAGAATGCAGGTTTGCCAGTTGTCTCAAGAGGACACGTCATATGCTGTGACCTCGGATGCAAAGGTATCTGGGAGAAATATGGCTTCAGTTGTGGATGTTATTCTTCTTAGTGACGATGAAGGAGACGCCGACCCAACGAAGCCACTTTCAGATAGTTTGAAAGAGATATCTTCTGCTAACCAGTTAGAACTTTCTAAGAGATTGGTCAGTTCGGATGGAATAGCGAGCGCTCCTAATTTTGATAGAGAACCAATCTTGAATACACCAGGGACTGATGCAGCAGTGATGGGTGAAAAAGTTATCAGTCCGTTACCTGGTGGAGAAAAAAAGGATTCATCATCTCACCCTGTACACGTGAAAATTGAACAGGATCGTGGTGAACAATTAGGATCTAATCCACCAAACCTCTCTTTCAAAATAGTTTCTGTTAAAGCAGATTGTGGCCCAAACACTGGTGCTATCATTGAACACAAAGTTGCTATTTCAAGGAGTGACCCACAGCCATGTGCCAGTGTAAAACTTGAGAATGAGGACAGACATGAAAAGATGGGAAGAATTGCCGATACAACTTTAGCAGACAATGTACGAATGACAACTGGAACTTCGTCGTCCAGCCAAAACAATTTGGACCGATATTACCGCCAAAGGGGTCCCCGAATAGCGAAGGTGGTGCGGAGAATCTCCTGCGTTGTTGAGCCTCTGGAAATTGGAGTCGTGCTATCTGGAAAGTCATGGTGTAACACCCAAGCCATTTTTCCAAAAGGTAAGCTGCATTTGCATTCCTTGTAAGTTGAGACTAATGCAATTGAGATACTGTCCCAACCAAGAAGATCAACATTCGTGTAATTCATGTTTGTTCTGCTCGATGCAGGATTTAGGAGCCGGGTTAGGCACATGAGTGTTCTGGATCCAACTGTTATGTGTCATTATGTCTCAGAAGTACTGGATGCCGGACAGGGTGGACCACTGTTCAAGGTATAGGGGAAAGCACCGTATTTAGCATGAACAGTTTCGATAAACTCCAGGCAAAATAGTATTTAATAGTGATGATCCAAGAAAACCTGTCTATATCTACCTACTGTGATTGAACGTGCTAGTTATTTACTTGATCTATTATGTTATTTTTCTCTGCCTTTAGGTTTCTTTGGAGCATTGTCCAAGTGAGGTTTTCATACATAATTCAGCTGACAGATGCTGGGAAATGGTGAGAGAGAGAGTCAATCAAGAAATCACGAGGCAACATAAATTGGGAAAAATGAACCTTCCTCCTTTGCAGCCACCGGGGAGTCTCGATGGCTTTGAAATGTTTGGGTTTACTTCACCAGCTATTGTACAGGTAAATTTATCAGAGAAGTAGAACAGTTAATTCTCCTTCGATACGACTCACGTGGATTGAGGCTTAGAGTTTCCGTTTTTGCTTTCTTGAACAGGCCATAGAGGCAATGGATCGAAATCGTGTCTGTTCTGAGTACTGGGACTCTCGTCCCTACTCCCGACTTCAAGTACAGATTCCACGGAACTCTCAATCCAAAGAAAGTAGTGAAAATTGCAATTCGATGTCAAAGGAAAAAAGTGATCAGGCGGCCTCCGACAATGATCTCGTCCCTGCTGGAGTTGATACAACACTCAGAGGCCTATTCAAGAAGGCTAACCTAGACGAATTGAACTCACTGTACAGCATTTTAAGTGACAATCGGCAACCTGCTGGTCGAGGCCTGGTCACACGACTTCTTTACGAAGAGATTCACAATCGTCCCACATGATGCATTTGTTGGTTTCACAACGATCAGAGACCGAACTTGCTCCGCCAGTTTTTAACTGTAAATTCTACTTACTGATTCCAGGTTGTATTGTACATTTATCACTCAACCTGCTCATTCTTTGTGCTAGAAAAAAAGGCTTATTCTTATGTAGACACCGGAGATTTTTGCTTTCATCGGAATGTCTGTTTGTAGCGCGGAACAAGTTTCGGATTGTTGGTGGATGACTCCAACTTGACGATTTGGCGTCCGTGCAGTGTTTCTTGTAGTTGTGGGTTGCCGGAAAATGTACCGTCCCCGCCCCTGGTTTTGGTTGTCACTTGAGGAAACTCGTGCAAAGAAAATGCTGTGAGTAGATGGTGGAATGGATTATGGAACATGGTGGTTCAACAAGACCATTACAAATAAAAACGAAATTCCCTAAATCCCCACTATTGCTACTTCTAGTGTCACGTGATGAGTAATATGAGGTAGCATACGTTGAGCTCGTAATGAGTGTTGTAGGAAAAAAAAGAGTGTGTGACAAGTGCTATACGAAGATAGGGATCCTAGAGAATTTTTTGTGTGCGATTGTTGGATCATGTGTATTTTTTGAGCACTTGGCTCACCCAGTGGTCCCCCCCCACACTCTATTCGAACGAACCAGAATTCTTCTTGCTTGAGAGTAATGCTACATTTACAACAATTTTGAAATGTACCATTTTTCTAATAGAGGTAGATCTCACCAACACATTGGGTCTCATTTCTATTAGAGATGTGGTACAAATGTGGTATGAAAAACGTGATAAGAGTATCATTTTTGCCGGCTTGAGGGGTTAGCTAGCTATTGTGTGGTTATTGGTGTAAACGTTGGCCTCCCCATTGTGTGGGAAACACAAATTGCACTTCAAATCTTGAGACTTTAATTCCACATTTGTATATTACATACCTCCACATGCCCTATTAGTAAATTGCAATTAAACTATTGAAATGCAAAGACTGTTAAGGAGAATGTCTAAATGGAGAGAAAGACTTGTGTAGAATCAGTCGGACCATGTCATTTGCATTGTAATTCTAACAAAAGCATAAAAACGGACAAAAGCATAAAAACGGTTGTGATATGATGTTTCTCAATGCCACACTTATCTCATACAGTATAAAAGTTGCCCTAATCAAACAATCGTCCTATTCTCCACATGCCCTATTAGTAAATTGCAATTAAACTATTGAAATGCAAAGACTATTAAGGAGAATGTCTAAATGGAATGAAAGACTTGTGTATGATCGGTCAGACCACTTCATTTGCATTGTATTTCTAACAAAAGCATAAAAACGGTTGTGATAAGATATTTATCAATGCTACACTTATCTCATACAGTGTAAAAGCTGTTCTAATCAAACAATCGTCCTGTTCTCGCCAATAAAAACAGACAATAGGCCAAGGAAGGAAGGAAGCCAATGGTCCCCACAACTAAAAGGCAAGTCCACACAACACATGGATATCCATCTCCTCCCAAAGCCCCAAAGACATAAATAGTACTAAATAGCAGACAAATTGGACAGCCGAAGAAGGAAATATTTCACCCTTCCCGCACGGACACACAGTGATCCAATCCAACGGTCCCAAATCCTCCACGTGGCCCAATCTCCTTTCCTCCCCGAAACGAACAGAAGGTTTGACCGAGGGGACCTAGGGAGGGCGAAGATAACCGCGCTCTTGCCGACACGCAGCGCAGGTGTCCACGTGGGGGAATCCACTTGTTTGGGGTGGGAACCACGCATCTAGGGCGGACGTGTCGCCCACCTGAAGTCCGCAGATTGCGGGGATCTTTTGGTCCTTTCATTTTCCCTCCCATCCGATGGTACGGCTCGCTTGGATAATTGCGCCAGCTAGCGCACCCTGAGAGGTCCCACCGCTCAAACCCTGCTGTGTGTTCGTGACAAGACGCAAGAGCTTTCTTGCGCACCTGAATCCTGACATTGTTATAATCACGTATGGTGCCAGTATTTGCTAATTAATCTGATAGAAAATTAAATTTTAATTTTTAAATAACATGAAATTTAGATGAATGTTTGCTACAAGATTAAAATTTTAATTTATTTAACAAATTGCCATCATTTATGTTTTATGTCATTTAATTTTCTTTTATTTGGTAATTTCATGATGTTTCTTTTTCGAAGTCTACCTTATGTTCATTCATTTTCATTTTTTTATTGGCATTTTGCATCAATAATTTATGGTTGTAACTTATATAAGGAAACAAATTATAGAAGAGTTTGACATTATACAGGTGAATCAAATTTCTACACCAATTTATTATAATGTATTTCAAAACAGATATTTGTGAACACTAACTCATTATAAATGTATTTCGGTACAAACAGTTTGGTACACTAATTCATTATGATATAGTCAGGTACAGACAGTTTAATACAAATATTTTAGGTACACTAATTCTTTATAATGTATTTCAATATAAACATGTTGGTAGTTGGTACTTTGGCTCATTATAATATGCTATCATACCTATATTTCGGTACAAAAATTTAAGTATGCTAATTGTTATAATATATATCGGTGCATTTATCTATTTACATATTTTTTAATGTCCCACTCACAAAGACGAATTAAATGACAAAGCAAAAGAAGAATAAGAATTTTAATATTTAAGCTTATGTGATACCTAGTCAAAGGACGTGAATTGATTTGTAATATAGTAATAGATTGTTATTGAATTCTAATCTTATTTAAGGGTATCGTTACGCTGATGTTGGGTACTTTAGACTGTTCGGCATGATAGGCGTTAATGCGCAGTAGAAAAACTCATCTCGTAGAGAGATATATAGAGAGGAGGAGGTATACCTAGTTATACGTAGAATCATTCGAAGTTTAAGCACCATTAAGAAAATAAGTTTCTTGTCAACAATGAGACGCATGATATTATTGATATGTAGTAGCAGAACCAAAAGCATGCAGTTTCATAGCATATGCAAAATGGAACCCCCTCATTCTCATCTATTAATTCAAAGGATGTGCTATCCACATACTCTTTTTTACTTCTCACACATCCATTGTCAATTTCTATCCGTTGATCTTCTTCAATTCATCAGATCCGACGGCCGAAAACCAAAAAGGTGTGGGAGAAGTAAAAATGGATGTGTGGATATCACACTCCTAATTCAAACTCATTTAAAGAACGAGAAATACTAAGGAACTCTATTAAAAGTAAGATTTTTTATAGACTCTGTCATCTAACAGTTTAGCATTAATTTTTGCACAAACTTTAAAAAACATTGTGCTTTAAATTGTGAGGTGGCAAAGAGTCTGTAAAGAGTCATACTTTTGAGAGAATCTGTTAACATTTCTAAAAAAGAAATGCAATGGCCATTCTACAATTATAACCAATTTTAGGACCTTGGAAGAAAAGAAAATCAACATAAAGCAATAAATTTTTAACCAATTAGATCCCATAATATATTGATCACCTGAGTCTGCTCCAAACAATGATCGATAAGACGCAAAAGTCTTTATACTCCAGCAAAAATAAATTTTTGATTTTATTAATTCATCAGGAAAATGGATATGTTTTTTAGGAGATGCTTTAGAACTGGACGATATTTGATGAGTAGTATTTTTCACACATTCCTTTTTACATTCTATAATTTTTTTTTGTTCATTTTTATTCATTGATCTTCTTCAATTCATTTGATTCGACGATCGAAAATTGAGAAAGGTATGTAAAATGTAAAAATGAGTGTATGGATAACATTACCCTATCTTGATATGCTTCAGAGAGTGCACTTATAAGGACATGTTAAATACTTTATGAACAAAATTCATCATCGTACTATACTGATAAGATTTATCATAATCCATCTGGCTGGAAACAAAATATAGATCATAAACCTTCAATATGATTAAATATAGTTAAATCGTGACATAGTTACATGAGATGTTAGAGCTTGTAACTCAATTAGTTATAAGTATTCACTTTTACACCCGAAGTTTCAAGTTCATCGACTCCCACCCCCTATTATTGCTTGTATACAAAAATAAAAAGCTATAAAACTGATATGTAAGGAAATTGTAGCCCATGTCAAGAGCATTTACTTTGGATGAGGATCCCATCCGAATCCAAATGGTGGGATCCTAAGGATCCTCATATTCATTGTATATCATGCGGTCAGTTTTCGTCAAGTACTATTTATGTTTAATTTTAAATAATAAAATTCAAATGATTTCTGATCGCACAATATACGATAAACGGTTAGGATGTGAGGATCCCTAGGATCCCCACCATTTGGATCCGGATGGGATCCTCATCCATTTACTTTGTACTTGAAGTCCTAGGTTTTATCCCCACACCACGATACAAAACAAAAAAAAAAGGTAAAAAAAAAAACAAAAAACAAAAAAAGTGTTGTAAATAATGGGTATGTTTGCCCACATGTGTATAGTAATGTGTATAGTATAGACTCACAAGTTTAATCGTGTCATTTGTTTGTTTCCTATAAGGTTGCTCTATAAATAGAGCACTACATTTGATCAAATTAGACTTGGAAGAGAAAAACATCTAATAGCAATAATATACATTACTTCCTCTGCAACAGCTTGTGTTGGTATAATAATTTGCAACTGCTTCGTTCCTGTCCAGAGTAAAGGTTATCTCTATAAATTTTGCCTATTTATAACACGTTATCAGCACGACTCTCTAATTATTTCTCATTTCCCTTCACCGAAAGAAAAAAAAAAAGCTTCCTCTAAGGTTTTTTCTGTTCTTCTTCTTCCTCTGCCTCAATTGCTGGATATACTCTCGCGAAGAACTTTTTGCACCATGTTTACTTCTAGTTCTCAACCTAACTGTTACTTATATTTTTGATTTCTTGTTTGGTGTAACTCTTGACTATTAACTCAGTGTTTATTTATGCAATCCAAGATGGTGCATAATCATCGCTTATCTTGGATTGCAGATCTAATTTTACTACAAATTTTATATGGAGCGGTATAATCGCCTACCCTATCCTGCATATTTAAATTTACCTGCTATTTAATTTTATCGCAATTTTAGGTGGTGTGGAATAATCATCAACCCTGCTTTGCATATTTAAATTTTATCGCAATTTTAGGTGGTGCGGTATAATCGTCCACCTTGCTCTACATATTTAAATTTTCCTGCTGTTTAAAGTAGTGCGGAATAATCGTTCATCCTATACTTGTTTCGATGAGAATGGTGCAGTACAATTGCCCTTCTCATTAATCATGTAAATCTCGAGCCTGAAGTTTCAAGTACTTATCATTTTGGCCTAAAGATCAAAAATTTGTAAGAAACAGAAGTTCTAACAATATATTCTTCCAGAACACATATTATTGCAAGT